TCACTTGGGCTGGGAACTCAGAGGTGCGATGCTAGACACACTACTAGAGCTGTGTGCATCCCTGCCTGGCTACAGAAACTGGGGTCTTTAGTCCCACTCTGGCCTAATGGGCTGCTCGGCTGGGGCCGACTCAGAACTCCTACCTGCCTCCCAGCTACAAAATCTCCTGGCCTCCAATAAGCACCTGACTTTGACATCTCCACTGTTAAAATTCTCAGGTGCCATCCATGTAAGAATGACATCAGGTTGATACCAGTTTAAATTGTTTTGGCTGTTGATATGTTTCATTTTGACAGGCAAGTTAATGCAGTTCAGGATTACAGAGGCACTTGCATAAGCCTGTGAAGGACCAGCACTGAGCAAATTTCTTTACTTATTTCAATAGCAGAACTGAAGAAAAGATTTCCACTGACATGCCACAGTCATGCTGACTTGAAGGACAGGAGAGATTATTAGGTTGTGGTGAACAACGTGCTACAAAGAAGCTTCTTCAGTACCAATGTGTGAAATTAGAAAAAAAATCCAGAATAGGTTTGCAAATGGGAATGTGAATAGCCTCTATGCTGCTAATGTCAGATGCCAACATTGGGCTCAGTCCTGCTGTTCTGATTTATATAATTACATTTGTGTAAGTAACGTCAGTGAAGTTCACGGGATTGTTTGGTATAAGTAAATATGACTGATTATGAGTTTATTTATTTTCAAGAAAATATAAATATTTAGATAATAGACTATTAGAATGCATACAGGTCAACTTGAATTGGGTTCTGTACACTGCACATTGTTATGGTGTTCCCATCCCACAAAAACACAGCAATTGAGAATAAGATATTATTTTTAATGCACTCAGTTTAGGTTTTGAAGTAATCATTATGGCTATGCAAATGGCTCTGTAGCCATAAAAACTTAAAGTGTTTGATTATAGACAGCAGGGTTATCAGGCTTTCCTGAAATTCTGGGGGCCACCATTTAGCAAAACAGGAACCCCAATGAAATACTCTCCAACTCTGAAGTTAGGCAGATATTTGATTGTCGTTTTAGAAGCTGCTTTTGATTTTAAAAACATTCTAAGCTCTCTGGAATATGATTTTTGCTCTTGGCAAAATATATCTTATTTGTTCAAAAACATCCCAGTGAGCCTTTATGATATACAAGACCATTAATGTCAGGACTAGATGTAGCTTGCTGTGTTTCATTCCTCCACTTATCCCTCCACCCATCTCTTCTTCTCTTTCTTGAGTTGAAAGTTTTCAGACTAATCCGAGATAAGCCAGTTGTTTGGATTTGAAGTTTGTTACTGCTTTCTCCTAAGTATACAGGCTTTCCTTGAGTTCCACCAGAGCTTCTCAAAGGGCTGGGAAATCATAGTTACAGGTGCCTTGATGGTCATGGGAGGCAGAGCCAGCCACCCTGCATCAGATTTTGCTAAAGTCATCATGACAAATTCTTTCAGCTGTGGGAGTCAGCTGTCTCCTCTGCTGAGAAACCACTGGGCAACTATAAATGTGCTCGATGTCTGGTCTGATTAATCAAGTCTGCTAGAGTATGCTAATTAGCATGCTCCAGCAGCCTTGATGTCTCGTGTATTCAGTGTCCCTGCACTTCAAAATGGTGGCAGGGACATTTAACTAAAGCTTGTCGAACAAGCTTTAGTTAAAGCACCTCTGCCACCATTTTGAAGTGCAGGGTGCTGAATGCACAAGATGCTACGGGCGCTTAAATTAGAGCAGCTTTCAGAGCCACACTGAAGCACCCCCTTCCCCCCACAGCGCATGTAAAGACGCCTATTAATTTTAATGGTCTCTAGCCACAAGGAGGCAGACAATTTCATTGCATTAAAGGTCTAGTCTGCCTTTATGAGAGACTGGGAGCAAGGCCCCTTCTAAACATTACAGGTATCATGCAATTAACTGGTTAATGCACATTTATCTTGCTACATGTGCAAAGTACCTGTGGTGCCATGGAAAGCTCCACCAGCTTTAAGTTAGACCTTGGAAATGGGTATTAACATTATAGCTGGTTGCTGTCAAGCTTTAATTTACATGTGTAGCAACATCTCCCCTGGGGCTGGGAGCCCTGTCTCTAACCAGGCTCCCAGTCACAGGGGTGTATCTTCCCTAGCTGAGGCTTGGTGTCCTGCAACCAAGGGGACTGTCGGCCCCAACAGCTGCCATAATCTCCCAGAATCAGGGATGTATGAAACCTCCAGGGCTGGGAGATTGCAGCTGCCATGATCTCCCAGTCTCTGGGGTTTCACCCCTCCCCGCCTCCAAAGCTGGGAGATCAGGGCAGCTGCAGTCTCCAAGTCCCAAGAGTTTCATGCACCCTCAAGTCTGGGAGACTGCAGCAGCTACATCTCCAAGTTCTGCGGGTTTCATGCCCACCTGCAAGGCTGGGGGATTGTGGCACCCCACAAAGCTGGGATTGGGCTCTCCCTGCACTGGCAATAAGGCACATTGTGATCTAATGTGCAATTGCACAATCATGCCTTCTGCCACGCACATGTGGCATGGCAGAAAGCACTATTGTGGGCATTGCACATTAGATCCCATTGCTCCTTTACCTGCATGTGTAGAGGGGCCCCAAGACTCCTGAATTCTGTCTCTGGCACTCACCGGGTCACAATCCTTATGCCTTTTTTCTGCCTCTGTAAAAAGATACTGTTTCCATTCCTCACATGAGCACTGTGATACTATCCTTTTGTTGATCTCAGAGGCTGCCTTGGATGCTTTACACTGGCCAGATCTCTAACTTATACAAGCATCTGTCCCTTGCAAAACTCTTGTACCTATCAATGCCTATAGATAGACGCCAGCCCAAACATCTGGCTTCTATTTCTCCAGCAGTAATTTTCTGTACTGGCCAGATGGATACATAGGGGCTTGAGCTCACTGGAAAACAGCTATTATTTTGGGCTAAAAAGCATCACAGCATCCTGCTTACTGTTCTCTTTCTTCAAAAAAATATGCGGATGCTGGTTCTGAGGAGCACTGTATACAGTCACAGCACATGTAAAACACATGGTATATGAGCAGTCTTTTTAAGGATATATTTTTCTCTTTTCCTTTTTTCTCAGACATTGCCCTGGGACCTGTGGACGGTAAGGCTAATATTTACCAGTGAGCATTGGGGTGCTTCTGTGCCTCTGATTCTGTAACATACCAGTGGATTGTAATAATTTTTGCATTAGGCAACATTTCAGTCTGTTTTACACAAAAAAAAAAAGGGTTCAGCCACTGAATAGACATGGTCATACTAAAGAAGAACAGGTATTTGTAACAATGAGAAAGACAGGGCAGTGATAAGGGTGGTGAATATTTTAAAACTGGTTCACTCATTCAAGGTGATACAGCTGAGTATTTGCTGCTTTTATTTTCATGAATTTAATTGTTGTTGGAGGTTGGTGATGGAGGCATTGGGTGCCTGTTTTCAATTGCCTGAGGCCATATTTCTTCAGACCATTCTTCCAGTAGATCTCCGTTTTTTTAAAATCCAAGGACAGAATTTATTGTAGGTGTTATAAGTGGGTGGGCCATAAACTTGAATAATTTAGAAAACAGTCACTGCTGTAGAAAATGTCATTGCCCTTCCTCTTGCCTCCTGCTGCTAATTCAGATATAATGATCCACAGGAAGAAAACAGATCATTTTCATGAGATATCTTCCCACATTTTGTTGAAGTGATGGCTGGGATGACTTCCTGTGGAGCCTAAAACTATTCTATGACCTTTTGCAGGCGTTAGTATTTCATAAATCTGTGGGACTCAAATTTTGCAGCTGTGTTGTATGAATGCATAGCAAGTGCAATGTGTTTACACTAGTCTTTTCTTCTTAAGAAGAATTAAACAGAGCCCAGAAGAAAAAATGGACGTTGATGTCTTGAGCCGATATAACTAAACTAATAGATTTTTATAGATGTGCCCTTTTGTTACGCTTTACTTGGTCAATGTTTTTCTTTATTCTAAGTGTTAATACTTCTTTCCACTACTATAAAAACAATGCCAAGTTTCCTGGTTAGAAAGTTTAGATCAAGGGTTTCTTAAGGTTCTTTATACTATGGGACTTTGCTTAATAGAGAAATTGGGCCAGATTTGCTTTTGCTCTGGACCTATGTAGTGATGATATTGGTTCAACATGAGTACACAAACAGTTGGCACTTTAAAATGGCAGCTTCTTGCACCCACTTTGTGCTGATGCAAAGGCTGATAGAAGATGCAGGCAAACAGAAAATCAAACTTTTTAACACTAAAATCCCTGCACATTGCCACAGGCAGTTTATATTTTTTTCAATATGAATTTGCATCTGGAAACATGGAGGACAGCCAGTGTCATGCGATCACCTTCCCACCATTGCATAAAAACTAGGGGTCTGTGTGCCACTGATAAGAATCCATTGGTTTAGATAAACAACAGAGTTTAACTCTTGGTATTACAGGGTTTTTTCCCTCTATTTATTTATATGGTTTTCTTCCATACAGACAAGCAGTGAACTCGTGCAACCGGTAAGCAGGCCTACTAAAAATCTCAGTCATTGTAGATGCATGGTTTGAAATTATAGTTTAATATAATTTTTAAATTCATCTATTAGTACTGCTCTTTTAGACTAGCTTTTATGCTAGCTTTTATCTGCAAATGTTACAAACAACAGCTTTTCCTTAAATTGTTTTAATCATTTTCATTCTTTATCTTTATAGTAAAATTACCATAAGAAAAATTAATTTTGTGTTTTCTCATCAAGTCCACCTTTATCTTTTTCATCTTGTTTTTTTTCTTTGCTTTTTTTGTCTGCTTAAAGCCTGATTCTTCAAAAAGTCTTTCCCTGTGTAACCTGGTCATGGAGGAAAGCCCAAACAGTGGGTCAACAGAAGATATTAACCGATCCCAAACTGATCTAGGTTCACTCAACTGGGGCCTAGATGTTAGCACACCCAGTGTCAGCCAGGAAATCACTTCAGGTGGTTCTTTCTCTTTCCCAGAGGAGGAACAGACTTCAAGAGAACCCATTGACACACTATCTACTACTGTTTGGCCTGCTGTAAGTGAGCAGGAGAATGATGAAGTGGGGTCAGCCTCCATAGAAGAAAATGAGAGGACTTCATTGGAGGCACAGTTGGATGCTAGAAATGTCACATCGAAAGATTTGGAAATTGATCAACTTTTAGAGAGCAAAAACGGTTCTGAAATGCCTGATGTGGGAACTGATAGCTTGTTGGATGAATGTGATTGTGATGTGCAAGAGACAGAGGATCAGAAGCAGGAAGAAGAAGAAGAGTCTATGTGGGCAGGTGTGGAGCCAAATGAAAAGGTAGAGACCAGAGCTGTTAACTTCCAGGAGATAGAGCATACAGATGAGTTTGAAGAGAGAGATTATGAAACTAAAGAAAGCAGTGACATAGAACGTCTTAAGGGCTTAGGAAAACTAAACCATGAAACCCTAGAAATTACCGAGATAGAAACTGGGCAGGAGTCAGAAACTGTGTGGGAATCAGAATATAATAATGGGCAAACTGAGACAATTGTTAACAATTACCTTAAGGAAACAGACCTAGGAAAGCATGGGCAAGTAGAATTTGAAGGGGTAAATGTAATTCAGGAGATAGACAGAGAAGGTTCTGGGTGTGTACTGGGCACAGGGCTGGAAGATGAGGCCCAAATAGTAGCAAGCATTTGTAAAAGTGTAGAATATGCTGACATTGAACCTGATATCTGGAACCAGGACCATGAAACAGCGTGTGTGGCTGACTTAGAACATCCTGGCAGTGTCACTGGAGGGAATACAGCCTTGGAGTGCATAAATATTATGGAGCATGTTGACCTAGACATAACTGACCACCCAGAAAAGGACACTTCATATGTTGGAAACATTGTGTGTGACACTGAATTATTCAGTACAGAAGACCCTGGTAAAGGAATTGAAGACAATAGCATCAGCATCTTCCAAAATGGTAGTGCAGCCAATGAATGTCAAGTTGACTTCATACCCTTTGAGAAAGAATTGGCATTGCGGCCTGAGTCAGCTGACACAACTAATGCAAACTGCAATAATTCTTGTTTAGATAATATGGAAGATAAATTGATAGAGAGGGCAGCAACTGCAGTGACTGAAGACCATCATAGTAACAGTAGTATCCCTGGAGCCTCAGAAACTGATCCCTGGCTAGCAAACTGGGATCCAACAGTTAATAATGATTCCTGGGGGTTTTCTAGTCTGCCCGATGGCCAAAAAAATGGATTGGATAATTGGCCTTTTTTCCATAAGCCGCAAGACTCAGAGGAAGGTAACATGGAAAACAATTGGCCAGGCTTTAATGATGAATGGTCTACCCAAGACTTGGGAGGCATAGATAAAAGCTGGGGAGATGTAAGTGTAACCACAAGCAGTAAAAATCAGGAGTCACCTTTAAAACAAGGCTCATCTGGGGAGCAGGCAAGCATTAGCAACCTTGGACCAAGCAAGGAGATAGCTAGACCCTTGGTTCTGTTTCAAATGGGAAATTCCAGAAATGCTAGCACCGAGAGTTCAACTAGTCCCAAAGACAATGAGACCAACAACTCAGATTTATCTGAAGATGAAATTGCTAACCGGAGATATGGATTGTTGTACCAGGAAATTGAGGCTGATAAAGAAGAGGTACCTACCCCAGTGTGTAGCATAGTCTAGACAGACTTCCTTAGGTCATACATAACCTTGTTTCTTATAAAGAACCCATTTACATGTTCCCCCCCCACTCCTCTAGACCCTTGCTAATCTTGTTGAAGATTTGTCATTCAACTATTTGAATTGTGGTGGCTCCAACAACATAAGTATAGTAGGCTGATAAAAAAAGGTTGACTGTTGAATGATGTTCATAAAACATAAAGTTCACCCCAATCTCATTATTTCAAAAAATATTTCCAAAAAATGCACTTACATTCTTTTCAACATCTCAGTAGCATTCTACCTTTTTTTAAGCCTATTAAAATGTTACACAATAGCATTACAATTTTGATCAGCATTCTTGCTGTCTTGTCCTTCATTTTTTTTTAAGTTCAGCACATTTTTAATTTGCTAATAAGAATAATTTAGCTTAATGGTCTGAGTTTTGTAAGTAATTATGAAAATTTTTTTCTGATCTTTTTTTTTCTACTTAGGCATCCAGCAGTGCATTTAATGGATTCACACAGGTAAGAAATACTTACAGGCAACAGAATTTTCTGTGTTGTTTAGAGTGGACTAGAATTAGCAGTATGAACTGCAGAATGCCAGGAAGGACAATACCAAACCACTAATTACTATTACCTTTTCTGCCACCACCTACTTCATTGATATATTGCCAATATTTCAGTTGAATTTTGGACTCATTAAAGTGAATGGCAAATTTCCCATCACTTCAGGCAGGCTAAAATTTCATCCAAGTTACTATGATTTAGGTTTTAAGTTGATTTTTTTGGATTAGAGTTTACTCATATCCCACAAACATTGACAGGCATGAGTTTCACAAGTAGCGAGCAGGGCACCAGCCCTTGGTACTGACTTGGGGGGGGGTGTCCAGAAAAGCAGCTGCCACTCCTGCCACCTGAGTGCCGCCATCAGTGTTATTAACCTTGCCACTGCTGCTGCCTTGTGTTCCACTGCTACTCAGGTACAGAATTGCCCAGATGTGCCTCTGGATTTCATATAATGTCATGAACTTTTATACCAACTTGCATATCTTTGTCTTAATGGTTTTAAAAATATATATATTTTGAAACCAGAGGTTACTTTCTACAATGTTTGTAAATTACAGAATTATACTAATGATCAAGGATCTGGGTTTTCTGTTTCCCACAGAAAAATGAAAAAAACCCCACAGAGTTTTCATTTTAATGGAGAAACATGGATTTTCCACTTTTGCAAAGAGCTGTCTGCAGGTTGGCAGAGTTTCCAGCCTGTAAGGGACTGGGGAAAGCAGGAGTGCGATCAGGCAGGGGGCGCCATGTGCATGTGCACATGTGCACGTGCACATGGTTTCCAGGCAGCCTGGAGAGCAGCTCCTGCAGGTAAGTCTGGCAGCAGGAGGGGAGGGGGGAATTGAGACCCCCAAAGTGAGGGAGGGAGGAAGTTGGGCAGGGCTGGGAGCTCGGGCTGGGAGCTGGGGCTGGGGCTGGGGCTGGGGCTGGGGCTGTTGCCCAGCCTGGGTGGTTCTTGGGGACCAGGGCTGGAATTGGAAGTGGGACGGAGATGCAGGCTTGTCTGGGGGTGTGTGGGGAACTGGCTCCCCAACACTGTGCACATTCCTGCAGAGGGAAGGGGGGGGCATGTGCCCCCCAGATCTGTGCATGGGGTGGGGATGAGATGCCCACTGCAGACGTGGGCTCCCTGCCCTGCTGCCCTCCCCACAGGACCTCCACAGCTCAGTGCGTGGGACCCGGTGCAGCAGGGCAAACGGGTGCAGGGCAGGTAAGCTTCTTGCCTCTGCAAGTCCCGCATTGCCCTGGCAAAGCACCCCCTCTCTACCTGGCAGCAGCGGGGGTGGCAGTGCACGGTCCCTGGCCCTGTAGTCCTGACACCTGGGGGCCCCCTCTGGCAGGGCTGTGGGGGGGCAGTGGGTGGTGGGAAATGAGGGGCACCCACAGGGCTGGGAGGCTGTGGGTGGGTAGTGAGGGGCACTAGCAGGGGTGGAGTGGGCTGTGGCTTGTGAGTGAGGGGCCTGGACCTGCGTTGTGGTGAGTGAAGGGGGCAGAGGGACTTACGATTTTCCATGATAAAAAACATGATTTTCCATGATAAAAAACTCATTATAGTGAGTGAGGCACTGGTAGTCTTCCAAATTCCTTTAAAATTGTAAATATATCCATAAAACATTGTGTTCAACTGATACCTATACATACATACATATATCACACACACACACCCGTATAAATACATATATAGTAGCATTCCATTTTAATTGCGGGTGCGGGGTTTTTAAATCAGAGAATTTGCTATTTTTATCAGAGAATTTGTGATTTTTAAACACAGAAAACCAGGATCCCTGAATGATGATATTTTGTGCTAGGTCTCTCAGAGGTGCAGCATATCAAGGTGTTGTGCCATCTTTATGCCCTTACAGTTTGATGCACCAAACCTTTCCCAGTGCAACTGAGACAACACTGGGTTGTGTCTAAGTTACAACAGCCATCACAGGTGGCAGGATGCTGGTCACGACCTCTCCAGCTCTGCATAGTGTGGTTCTGCTCTTCCTGGATTTACCCCATCCCCAGCACATCATCTCCCATTGGACAATCTTCAAGCTGCCTGTATCAGATTTAGATCTGAGGTTCTCACCACTGCTTTATATTGATCCAGCCCTTTTACCTACTGTAAAGGGGAGGACTGAGGATCTCACCTTTTTTTTCCATTAGGGTCAAATATTTTCACCATGGAAATCAGAAGTGGCAATTTCACATACTTCAATAGGATAAGATTTTAGGCCTCAATATTTTATGAGTGGCCTGGCTGCATGTAGCAATCCAGATGATCTATTTTTTACTTTTGTATCTTCTAATTACAGTTGTGATTTTGCATCTACCATTTTTTATCAGGACAATTAACATCAAGGAGACATCTTTACATCTTTACATTTGCAACTTTTTGTGTCCTTTTCAGTATGAAAGATCAGATGTATTCTCACCCTCTTGTTCTCTCAGTTTCTGCCCCCATTGTCGAGGGCTGGACTATCCCATAGATCCAAGATGATTGTGATCAGTGTTGCTCCCCTTATGGAGCTGGGGACAGGCTGCTATAATGTAGTTTAAATTATGCTGGAGGGTATGTTATAGCAGCTCTGAAGCAAAAGGATACAAAGATAAATTATAGACACCCTAGTCTAGTCCCCTTTGCCTTTGACTACTAATTGCGTGCCTTACCACTGAAAAGCACAGTGCACTGTTAGCTGGTTTGTCTGATGAAGGGTGATTGTAAGTTAAATGCAAATTTTATTAGTGAAAATAATCTCATCTTTCTATTCCTACCTTAATATAAAGTTTAATAAGATATTTTTCTTTTCTTCCATTCTGTGATTTCTGAAAAAACAGAACATGTTTGATAACCTATTTAAATGATCCATTTTTTTTATCTAATTCTTCATTGCTTAGTTAGGTAAAGTAACAGGTCCTCTCATGCCAAGTCAGGCCTGCATGTTTCAAACTTACCTCTTATAATATTTTTCCTTTCTCTACCTGCGCATCTAGGATACGTCTCTATTTGCAATGCAGCCAAATGAGAATGTGATAGATTCCTTGGTAAGTTTTGGGATTTATTTCATAATTTGTTTAAAAATGTTACATCACAAATTATATAATTATGTTTTTGCAAACACATCTGTTCCCCTGGACTTCCATCATTTAAACCATGTATTATTTAGCAACAAAACTGACCTACGCAATTGATTGTAGCTATGAACTTTTCCTCACTCAATTCTCCTACAGAGAAAGAATAAATTATGATCCAGAGCTATTGCCCAACGAAGAATCTACAAATCTTTAGAGATATTTCACATTTAGTGGGTTGTTGTTTTTTTTACTTTCAAAATATAACAACAGTGGTCTCTTATATCTGTTGTAATCAATGCAGTCAAGAAGTGATATTAGCAACCATCTCTGTGCAATGCTAACCAAGCAGGTGCTATCCCAAAGGCAGCATTTTTATATGCTGGTAACAAAATATGATAGCTTTATCCATCCAGAAATATGATTTTAGATAAATGCTTTTCCATGTATTTAATCAGATATACTCATTTTTATAGTCATAAAAGATTTTAGTGATGTTTTTGCAAGAGATCATGCTTTGACAGGCAATTTATTCCCAGCAATACTCTACTGCTGTCTTAATTTAGGTTAAGCTGATACAGAAGTAAAGCACCAATATAATAGAAAAGAGGAACATATGAGGCAGAGTTTGAGAATATTATTTAGTGTTGTTTTTGTACAGTGCATAATGGAGGTATGTGTCCAGAATGGTGATCAAACACATGCTTCCGCCATGCATTCATTATACCATGGATAACAGCTTGCTGTAGTCCAAACACAGCAAATTGACTAAAGATTACTTGATAAATTCAGTTGTCCTCAAGCAACTTGAAGTAAATCAATATAATCTGCATTATAACATGTTGTCTAGTTTCCAAAATTATTTACAGAATTAATCCTCAGGATATTTATTGTGGTCTTACCTAGGTAAAGCTGCCTTTTTCTTTTTTGCAGTTCCTATTTCTTTGTCTATTACTGAACAGCTAACATTAAATCAATGCATAGAATTGTGCTTTGCAGCATGGTATTATATAATGAAGACTTCTTTAGAGCATTTCAAATCCTGAGGTTCTTACGTAGACAAACTTCTGTTCACTTCACTAGGAGCGGCCTGTTTAAGAAATGAAAGAATGAAAAACAAGTAAAGGTCTCTAGCTGCTTCTGAAAAAAATACTGGAAGAGGAAATATTTTTTCTCTCATAGAGATCTGTATAAAGGTTTTCTGTCTTACTATGAGATCTTTGAAACAAGCAAGTGTTGTTAAAAGTGACTGCAGAGGTTTGATTGAGCCAAATGAGTGAGTTGTGTAGGAAATTTGTTTATGGGGGAAAAGCCCATTAAGGTTATTTTGTCTGGTTGAGCCAGTGATTCTGTATGAATGACGTACCTTTAACTTTTCTCTATACGGGATTAATCCTGCTCTACAAGTTTTTAGCTCCACATGAAATATAAATATGCATCAATAGCTTGGAAAGTCGCTTTAAAGAACTGGAATGTTGGGTATGTGTTGAAAATTCTCCTTTCTTTTAGGACCATTTTGTTGCAGAATTGAGACTACAGAGGACTGGTGTTCCTTGGTGCCTTCTTGTACTAATAACATGTGTGTGTTAGAGTTTAAAAGGGTCTGAATTATAGTAATGTGTCTGAGAAGATGGATTCCAGTCTGGAACAAACAATATCTGCATCTGACCTGAGTGCTCTTTTCTGCATAGGCAGGGGGTTGGACTCAAACTGTTGAGGTCCCTTTCGACCTAACATCTATGAATATCTCTGATACGATTACATGCCTCCTAACCTCTACCTTTACTAAGCATGCTTCTGATGATGAACAGAAATAACAGATGAAGCAATATGTTTTGTCCTGAG